GCATCCCTAAAAGCTACATTGCAGCAAATATCAGTGTTCGACAAATCTTGAAAACAAAAACGCATCTATTTTACTCAATTTTTTACACTCTTTCCAAGGGTGTTGTTTATAGTCGGAAAAAGTTTTCTTTTAATACTGAACAAAGTGAACAGGTGGATGGGACGTAAAGTGACACGGAACTTTGTGCCGCTGGAGACTTTTTGTTCTATGTTTTTTTCGATGGCGAAGCTAGCTGATTTTCATTTCCTTAATAGAATATAAAAGGTTGATTCGTAACAGTACAAAACATATACACGAAGTTTGAATCAACTTGAACGCAAAGTTTTGTTAAGTGATTTTCGCTTGTAACGAAACTTTTTGTTAGTACTGTATTTAAGTCAATATTTTGACGATCCTATAAAACATCTGACGCACCTAGACGTATTCGTGAAACGCGGTTGGATGCGTTCATAGGACGTGGTACAACGCGTTTTAAATGACAAAGGCATCTAGCCGAATTTAAAATAGTGACATTAAAAAACAATTCTTTTTTCATAGAATCGAACTGCGGTACCATCCTAATCATAAAAGCTGGTCAGGCCTATCTAAACCCATCTAGTAGAACGAGTTTTCTTACCAAAGCTACGTATATCTGATGTGTGGTCACTAAGGCTAGAATTGGAGAACATGCGATTCAGAACCAAGCCTTTATTACGATAAGGTAGAACAGCTCATGTGGATATGTGAGTGTCTATACAACTTTTGCTTTAACAATAAAACAGGAAGAAGAACTCTGAGTCTCCTGTATCTTAGAAGGGTGTGGAGATTCACTTTCTGTAAACCCAGTTCCTTGGATCTCATGGCTTATTAAAAATAACCGGAAGTTATGCATGAACATCGAAAGTTTGTCGAATGAAACAGTCAGCTTCTTGAAAGAGACGCATACTGTCATCATATGACATTCGTAAGGGTTTTGCGAAACACGATCTGAAAGGAGTGTTGAAGTGTTTAGGCGTAGAAATTTGGACCCACTCCCCCCACAGACCGTGACAGAGAACCTCCATACCCATCACAGACCGTGACAGAGAACCTCCATACCCATCACAGACCGTGACAGAGAAATTATAGTTGTAAAACATTAGATAAACAGGTAACTACAAATGTGTGGCAACGAAATGGAACAAAAGGATTTCCATATAATTAGCAACAATAGGTCCATCGTGTTTCACATTTTTAATCCCGCAAGGGATTGCGCTAACAGCTTTTGTTATTAGTTTAGCGTTTATGATGAAAGACAAGAAACATCTTAGATCCACAGTCAAAAAACGCCAGCGAAGTGTATTTTACTGAATTCAAATTATGTAGGATACATTTAACTGCACGAGCGTTGATAATGGCGAAAATACTTAGTTATAGATTGGGCGTGAGAGGCTAGGTTGAGAAACGGAATCAACATGGAAAACGTGTGGTGTGCTTGATCTTATTTTATTTTTGAAACGTGTGCCAACGCGAATTGACGTCAAGTACAGTCGGATCCGACAAAAACCTAGAAGCGTCTACTCTAGGGTAGGGGAGAAAAGTTATCGTTGCGTTACCAGTTACCCGCTAACGGTAACGGTATGGTAACTGTCTCCCGTCACCATCTCCGGACCCTTAGATCCTCAAGGCCTATTACAAGGGAATCAAGGTACTTCCCTATAGCAGGACTTCAGAGCCCAAAGGTACCCCCTACAGTGGGACTTGAGGACCCAAGGGTACCCATCAACGATTGAGTGGAAAATGATCGTTACGGAACCGTTACCGTTATCTGTTACCAGGTCACTGGTAATGGAATCGGTTCCCAGTTACCGGTAACCGTAATGGCTTGGTAACGGTAACTTCCCACCCCTAGTTCAGGACGAAGAATACAGAGACCGTATACTTTCGTATTTTTTTCGCATAGATACATTCGTATTTTGGCGTTTTGTATGGTTTAGTATTACGATCGTATAAAACAAATACGGAGTAAAACGAAGTGTATACGGCAGGGCCGCCCCGAGGTCATCAGGATTGAGGGAGTCGACCACCCCGGAGATGGAGTTGACGATTGTGGGGATGGATCGGCTGTTTTCGCGGATCTAGGTGAGCAAGAAACGGAAGAAAATTGTTCAGTTCCGTTGGAGAAAAACGAAAATTTTCCAAGATTTGGAAGGGGGTCATACCCCGAACCCTCCCTCGCTCGGACCAGCCCTGATATACGGCCTCCGCATACAGAGACAGCAAACGAGCGTTTATTTTTCCGTAACCGATCGTATTTCTCCGTATACGGTACGAAGATATACGATCGTAATGCTAATTCGTTGAAAACGCCGTATCGCTCCGTTTACGGTTGTTTATGAACGTTCTATTTGACTAAGGAGAACTCTAGCTACTTCTAAATGCGTTCAGCAAGTTGAATACGTTTAGATGTGTTCGTGGAACGCGTCTGAAGTCTGAACCTGTTTGATTTTGTGACGCGTCAAAACGCGTTTGAAAAACCCGGTTACACACGTTTAATTAAATTTTGAAACGCGCTAGAACGCACTTTCTGGCTGATTTGTAAGACACTCGCATGTAGACGCGATCGGCTGAAACAAAAACCGCATCTAGACGCATTCGATCTGCGTTTGATATTTACATGGGCAGTGTGAAACACGAATCATCATGAGTATAGCAGAGCTCAGTATTAATACCGAACGCCCCATCTTTCGAGCTATTATTTTTATTTTAAGTGGAGAAAAAAGATTAAAAAATTCTCAGAATTTTCATTTGTGAAGAACATATTGGACCAAGTCAAGAAAATTTTTGGATTTTGTGAAACACGATTTTTAATGAGTGTTGAAGTATATAGCGAGAAAGTTGGACTCGTCGCCCCCCCCCTCCTGCTTCACAGACCGTGACAGACATGTCGACATGCTGGTTTGGGATTTTTGGACCACGGAATTTATATTTTAAAATCAATAAATATTTAAGGGGGCCCCCCTCAGAAGCGATTTTTGACTTGGGATAGTACATTTGAGCTGAAATTTTCAGGGATGACTTATCATGGTGAGATACGCTTCTGATAAAAATTTCAGCCCTATAGATAATACTAGACCGGAGTTCTAGCTGATTCATGACCCATTTTTGAAATCGATATAGCTTCCTCATGTCACGTGCTATAGAGCTCGGGATGGTTTCAAATTAAAGCTAATGTCAGTGCGCAACTTTTATCCGATCATCATTTTGAAATTCAATCTCATTCGTTTTTTATGAGCATTTTTGGTGATATGGTCTAAAAATCAGCATAAAAAACGGTGGTGCAACGGCAGCAAATTCCACTTTTCTCAGCGCAGGAACCACCTATAAAAAATCCGTTCGTGCAAAAGTTTACCCTCATTGAAACCTTTAAAACAAAACAAAACATCGATTATACCCCGAGCCAGGACAGCACTATTTCAATTTTCCTGTCTGGAAACTGTATTTTGAGAAAAACGCTAAAGAAACTTTAGAACTGGATTTTTTCGTTCAAATCCAGAAAAAATCATATTACAATGGTATATTATTAATTCATTCCGGTGGACCGTTTTAAAGCACGTAAGAGATGAAGGTAGCTAACGCCATCTGTCATGCTGAGTAATATAAAGATGTTCTACTCAATGCCAATGCAAGTGGCAACGAATTTTTTCCAAAACTGAAAACATTTAAAAATCATGAGAATTTCTCGGAAAATATGCTGATGGGCTCCCAGTTTCATGTGATATGTCTTTGAAAATCTGATCATTTTTCAAAAAGCCATATATATTCTGAAAGAGGAAGCTTTGCTGCATCTTCCTATGATAAAAACTCAACTTCCATATTTCTTTGAAGAATTGAACTTTCTAAGGAAGGGCGGCTTGTCCACGTAACGTGATACTTCAGACATTAAGTATTTTTTTCAAAACTTTGAATAAACGGTTATGCCATGTTGTAAAGCATGTTCGAAAGTGTACGAAAATATATTTTCCTATTCAAGAAATTATTTTTTTTAGTCTTAAATAATGTATACAACAATCCTCAATTATCACACCGTTGATAGCAATTTTTTCTTATCTACTTCAAAACCAACCGTACACATTAAAGACAAGCTTCGAACTCGCGCTTTCAGGTGTTCTCTGAACTATCATAGATGGTCTTTCTTTTAGTAAAAGAATCAACTTTTGTCCTATCCCTCACCTTGAGATAGTCCTAATACAATACTTGATCAATATCACTCTCACACCGTTATGAAAAGACCCTATTTTAAAAGTTTGATGAGCCCTTTACGAAATACCAGGGGATAAAGTAGTGGACTATTACTAACTTTTTACGACGATTCTCATGCACTACTTTTTTTCTGAAAAATGTGTCATCTGGAGGGAGATAAACGTAACGGTGTGACAAAAACTTCATTTTTGGTGCTATTCCTAAATCATGGAAATCGACAATCATTTCGATAGTACTAACGTCAGACTGTCTTTGGTTACAAATTAAACCTGATTTAACCTTTAGTTTACTTATCTACCGATAAATCTTTCAAAAAATATTCAATACTTGTGTTTTCAGCTACGGTTAATTTTAGCCATTGTAGCAACACTTTCAGAACCAATATTAGATTTCGCATTGACTGGCGTGTTGTTCATGTTTTTTGAACAGACACCAGTCGTTCAAAATGAAAAAATTAACGGTTTAAATGATCAGTCTATTTTCTTTTTCTTTTCTTCCTTTCGTCGTTGGTTCATAATGAGAAAAAAAACATTTAAATAAAATCAGTTAGCATTTTTCTTTCTTTTCTTCCATTCGCCGCCCATTTTGTGTTGACAGTTCACAATATATAAATAGCTGGAAAAGAAAAGAAAAATCAGTTCTATTTTATCTGTCCAGTAAGAAACAGCTCTGGAAAAAGATTTGGAAATTTTTCTTTCATATAAGTACTATTGTCAAATATCTGCTGTGTCGTTTCATCAAGGTAACTATTTGTTTCTTCTTACTATCGTCATTTGGACATGGCTATGACTAATGCTGAAAGAATGAAAAAATATCGAGGGAAAATCAAAAAAGATAAGGCTAAATATGAAGCAGTGAAAGCAAAAGATCGTATTTGTTATAATTCAAGAAAGCAAAAGCTGACAGGAGCAAGCTTAGCTAAATTTCGTACCGAAAACAAATTTCGTCAACAAAAATATCAAGAACATAAAAAAAAACGTTTAGTTAATAAATCTCCTCCAGGTTCATTCAGAAGTCGTCAATCATTTGGTAAGGCATTAAAAAAAACAAATTCTTCACTTCCAAAATGTGATAAAAAATAATTCTCATCCAGCACCTTGCTGAAACGTATAGTTTGATTCCTAAATCTAAACATCAACGTACTACAGTTCAACTTGCTGACCAACTAAAAACTGACGTTCATAATTTCTATTTACGAGACGATATTTCATATCAATTACCAGGTAAAAAGGACACAATTGTTATTAAAGAAGATGATGAAAGTAGAGTAAACTATCAGAAACGAATTTTATTTAATAATCTACGTGAAACTTATGAATTATTTAAAGAGAATGACAATGTTTATATAAGTCGATCTTTGTTTGCTGAATTAAGACCTCCTTTTTTTTACTCCAAAAGCTGCTTTAAGGCTCCCCCATTGGAAATGATTTTCCAGTTTGAACGGTCCTTTCACGCTGAAATTTTCAGGGATGAGTGATCTTGGAGAGATACGCTTCTGGTAAAAATTTCAGCTCGATCGGTCGTACTAGACCGGATTTTCAGCTGATTCATAAGTCATTTTTGGTCTTCAGGAGAATTGACAAAACTCCATTTTAACACGAGATATCGAGCTCGGGCTGGTTTCAAATTAAAGCTAATGTCAATACGCAACTTTTGTCCGAACAGAAGTTTTTAATTTCAATCTTATTGAGTTTTTATGGCTATTTTAGTGAAAGGGTCTAAAAATTAGCATAAAAAATGGTGGTTCAACGACAGTAAATCCCACTTTTCTCAGTCCAGGAATCGACTTTAAAAAAACTGGTGGGACAAAAGGTTGCTCTCGTTGAGACCTTTAAAACAAAAAAAAATGTTGATTATAGCTCGAGACAGGAGAGAGTAGTTCCAATTTTTCTGATTGGAATCTATGTTCTGAGAAAAATTCCAAAGTTTTAGAAATGGATTTTTTCATTCAAACGCAGGACATAATGGTATATTGATAAGATTTATGTGGAATTTTTGAAAGCACGCAATAGATGGCGTAAGCTAGCACTACAGGTCGTACTATATGATGTAAGAATGTTTATTCCACGTTGATAGAAGGAAAAAAGTAGTCTTCCCAAAAATAACAAAAACTGCGAAAATCTCTCAGAAAACCGGGTAGTTAGGTGGAAATCTCCTATGAAAGTCTGTAAAAATTTGGCCTTTTTTTAAAAATTTATATATATTCTGAAAGAGAAAACTTCCCTGCATCTTTCTATGATAAAAACTCGACTTCGATTACATTACCGAAAAATGGATTTTCTGAGGGGGGGGGGGGGGCTTAACACATAGGATTTGCTTGTGTTTGTATCATGAAAATATTTGTTTACTTTTAAAAGCTCTTGATAAATACGTTGCTGGCAAATGTTGCTCATCTTTGCAAACATTTACCAATAGGTTAGTTTATAGTACTAATAACGAAGAATGTATGTTCAGTAGTTGTTCACTTTGTGAAGATTTTTTTACAGAAAAAATTCAGGAAAACGTTTCGGATGATAACGCTAAAATTGCTTGGTCACAATGGATCAATGAAAATATTCATGCAGAAAAAAAAGAGTTTTCAGGAAATGTTGATGAAGCAGGTTTGTTATTGCAATCAAAAGTTGAATATTTTTGTTTCATGTGCACATTAGACGAGAACAGTCGAAGTATTTTGAAAAATTAAAGACGGAAGTTAGTGATGAAAAGATAGTATTGCAAGTTGATTTTGCAGAGAATTTCAATATGAAAGAACAAGATGAGATTCAAAAGGCTCACTGGAACACGAAACCGTTGAGTATATTTACTGCTTTTGTCTGGTCAAAAAGTGAAAATTTTTCTTTTGCTCTACCATCGTTCGATGTAACACACGATAAATGTGTTGTTGATTCCGCTTTGAAAATCATTTTAGATTATATCAAAATAGTTCTTCCAAATGTTGAAGAAATAAAATGTTTTTCGGATGGTGCTCCTTCTCAGTTGAAACAGCGCTTTCATTTTCGAAATTTAACACGAATTGCTAATGAACGAAAAATAAATGTGAGTTGGCATTTTTTTGCAACCTCTCATGGAAAGGGTATAGTTGACAGAATTGGGGTACTGTAAAACGTCTTGTGTGGTCAGCTATACTGGCAGAAGGAGTGTGTTAATCAGCTGAAGATTTTATTACACTTGCAAAGAAAAAAACTACGAAAATAATTTTGATTGAAATCACGAGAAATTATATTGATAGTTCGAAAAGTAAACTTGAAAATCTTTTCAAAACGGCGAAATCTATTCAAGAAGCATTAAAAATGCATTCAGTTAAAGTGGTTGATGAAGATGAATTAGTTTTGTTATTACTCGACGTGTTCTCAAAAAAAATAATATAACATATTAATAGTAAACATGTAGATTTTTTAGAACTTTTTGTTTGACTGTGTTTTGCTGATTATGTTAGTATTTACACATACTCGATGAAATGTAGAATGGGGTTTTATTTAACCAAGACTTTGTTGAAAACCTTAAGATGAAAAGAAAATAGTAGAAAAAGAATTTACTGATAGAAACATCTAAAAAAAAAACAAAAAAAAAATACCCAGCTCGAAGGAGGCCGGGTCTTTGTCCCGAGCTGGAGAAACATTAAAGTTTAAGATAGCATGCACTTAAACTTTAGTGGCCAAGAGCCTCTGAGTGTATCTCGAACCTATAGCAGAAGTATAGTTTATTACAACAGGAAATGTTGAATTTAACATAGACTTAAGAGGTCTCCATGCATGCTGATGCTATCTTTAGTGGTTAGAGTTTTAGAAATATCTCTTGGAACTAGGCATGCAACAAATCCTGTTTTCAGGTGATAAAGATGACTCATTTACGATGTCAAGAACCGTCAATTCCTGTCAAACCTTCGGGTGCTCTCTACTCAACTTTTATCGCTCTATCTGATGGCAGCCACAGATATGTCAAATCCTACTGAAAAATATGCAGGATTTGACTGGATTTGACCGAAAATTCGCGTTTTTTGATCAAATCCTGTCAAATCCTGCATATTTTTTAGTCGGATTTGACGTATTTATGACTGCCATCACATAGAGCAACAAAAGTTGAGTAGAGAGCACCCAAAAGGTTTGACAGGGATTGACGGTTCTTGACAACGTAAATGAATCCTCTTTATCACCTGAAAACAGGATTTGGTGCATGCCTACTTGGAACGTATAAACAACGTGCTGACACAAAATCACATCAAATTAAAGGAACACATGAATTTTCGAAAAAAAAGTGTCACACTGCTACGTTTGTTTTTTGGATTTATTACGTGAAGAAAAGAAGTTAGGACAATTCTTTTTTATCATTGTGAAGCTCGCTAAAAGCTCTACAAAATTCGTCCTTGCAGCATTTTATTTGGACAGCAACTTTCGCAGGAAATCACGGCTTAAAAAAAAGCACTTCAAATTTAGGGTCCTTTTATGTGACTCCGTTACGCTATCAAAAAATCTTTTCAGAGACTCGAGAGTTATATGGAAACTACTCATTCTTATAGCATAAATAGAGCATGACGAGCTGCGTCTAATGGCGCGTGAACGAACTCTCTAGCTCCTAAAGTTCACAAGATAATTGAAAAATACTCTGTCAAAAACGTAACACCGTTACGCTTGGACAAGGCAAGGGCCCCCTTAAATAATCAATTATTTTAAAATATTTATTTCGTGGTCCAAAAGTCCGAAACTAGCGTGTTGACATGCCTGTCAAGGTCTGTGATGATGTCGAGAATTTTTCCGACATATCTGCCACTGTGATGGTCTAGAGGGTTTCTCGACGTTCTAGTTTTCGGATCCATCACGAACTGTGATAGGCGTGGCTACCCTTTTCCATCAGGGAGGGTGTGGGTGTGGGTGTGGGTGTGGGTGTGGGTGTGTGGGTGTGGGTGTGGGTGTGTGGGTGTGGGTGTGTGGGTGTGGGTGTGTGGGTGTGGGTGTGTGGGTGTGGGTGTGTGGGTGTGAGTGTGTGGGTGTGGGTGTGTGGGTGTGGGTGTGGGTGTGTGGGTGTGTGAGTGTGGGTGAGGGTGTGGATGTGATTCAGAGCAAGACGAAGACCAACATCTGCATCCACATTCACACCCACACCCACACCCAGACATCCACAGCCACACATCCACACCTACAACGCACCAACACCCACACCCACATCCACACCCACACCCACACCCACCCACACCCAAAAATAAGCAATTTTTTCCTATATATCGTATTTTTCAATCTAATGCCGGCTTTTTTGAATCTTTTAGAGTTTATATTTGGATAGAGCATGAAAACCTGCATCGAATTGACATAGTCTCACTTAAGTTCAAAAGCGTTTGGTGCAGTAGAAATACCTGAAAAGAGTCTATAGGCTTAGTATACTGAAATTGTGCTCGTATATTGCATTTTTTGATCTGATACCGGCCTTTTTGAATCTTGAGGGTATAGGGTGTGGGTGTAGATGTAGGTGTGTCCGTTTTAGTTACCCACACCCACCACCTACCCACACCCTCCTACAGCGCACCCACACCCACACCCACCCACACCCTCCCACACCCTCCCACACCACACCAACACCCACACCCTCACCCTCCCACAACATACCCACACCCAAAATTAACATGCTAGATTTGTAGCCCACATCGATCTTATAACACTCATGTAGTTATTTCTTAAAAATATCTGGGGTTGAAAAATGGTCTTACCGCCCCCGTCCTTTAACAAGATCTAGTGAGAATATCTTCGAGATAGAAGATAACAAGTTAATATTTTGCAAAGAAGATTTCTCGTCATAATAACGATTGATGTGATACATTTTATATGTTGTCCACCATCAGACTCGTGGAGGGAAATACTCCGCAGCGATCGAATTCTCCATTGGAAAATGAATTAGCATCATATACAAAACAGTTCAGTCGATATTTTCATTCAATAGATTCAGAGAAAACAATTCGAAGGATTTTGATGATGAATTGAATGATATTTCTCTAACAGAGGAGCAAAATGTGAGTGAATCAAACGATATTAGTGACCTGATATCTGTTTTTGGATCAGATCGAGTTTTTTTTCTTCAAATTTTCTGTAAATATTGATTTTGTTTGTAGAATGCTCATGGAATAATGATTGATCCTTTGAGAAAAATCAGAACAAATCCGACGTCAATCGATGCGGATGAATTTCCTATTGCCAAACCAATTTTACCTGGAATAAACAATATCAATAATAATTTGATTCTGAAAAGTGGTGATGGAACTGGTAGAACAAGCAATGAAAAGTAGGTTGAACAAAGCTTTTCATTATCAGTATCTATTTTCTGGATGATCAAGTGTTCAAAGAAAATTAATCAGCATCTATTTTTCGTTTTGCATAACTCTGAGATGCAATCTCATCTTTCTCCTTCGAACTAAACAACGACAACGAGTCAAGTTCGCTTATTTCCTATTAGAACTGTGTCAGTAAACCCAATGGAATTTCCTTTACTTCTCAGTAATAAGGTGATCGCTCTAATACGAAGACTTCTTTTTTCTATGAAAAAAATTGAGATTGGATAACGGCAACTCTCTCCTACCGAGTATCAAATAGTACATTGAATGAATTGATTTCCTTATTTATTTTAGTAATGTATCCGGTGAACAACAGGCAAACAATGCCTTTTACAATTGTATTGGTGGTATACCGGATATTCCTGAACGAGGAAAACCAGTTCCGTTGGGTCTTGATATGGTAATTATCAAGAATACTTATCAATACTATTGACATCTTTTCGATAAATTCTTTAGGGCTTGTCACTCGATAAACGATCTGCTGGTGTCCCAAGCGCAGTTGGAAGGCATAATCTGAATGATGAGGAGCTGGTAAATATATCAAGCAGTGTTTGTTTGTTTCTGATTGAAAATACACTTGATTTTAGCGTACACATGTTTATAAAAAAACTTTACAAGCATTGATTTATCCCATATCATTGACAACTCCACATGATTTTGAATTTTGTTCGTTTACTCATCCAACATATTGTTACGATTGTGAAGGCCTTCTATGGGGTATTGCTAGACAAGGTTTAAAATGTCGAGAATGTGGATTGAAATGTCATGAAAAATGCAAAAATCTTTTCAATGCTGATTGTCTCCCACGTAAGAAGAAATTTTCGTACTAAGAGCAAAAAAGAAGAAGAACTTTGTTTATTGTTGTCTGATGTCAATTGATGTTTTCATATTTTGTCTCTCACATCTAATATGTTATGGTCTGTCTCATCTTATTTTGTGTGCATGCCATTGTTGTTTCAGTGTCGTTAGTTCAGATGTTATATCCTAATTATGATCCAGACGAGATTCATCAAAATACCGTCGAGAATAAACATGCGCAGTAGTACGGCGATAATTAAAATATTTTGCATTAGTTCTCACTTTTGTTTCTGCTTTAATTCTATTGCTATTTTATTCATCAAGCTTTTAAAAAACATCGTTGTTAGTTAACCGATTAGAATTTTCTTCTTATGATTAATTCGTACATCTCTTTTCTTTATTGTTGTTAATAGGTCGAGCACAGAAAAATGCTAAACATGGTGCCAATGATACAGCAACAAGTCTAATAGAAGCTATGCATGAGAAAATGACACTCCGGGAAAGTACAAGACCAGATCTATTTCAAACTATTAGGTAAATGCAGGGTGGACCAAAAGTTAGTTAACCGAAGGAAAAATAGAATATCTCCATCATACGTTAACCAAACAGGCTGATTTTTTTGGTGGGGGGAGGGGTGTAGTGGAAGAATAGACCCACACCCCACACCCTCAAGATGGACAAGCTTTAAAAAAATTCGTCTCAGCCATGTACGAGTAACTGAGATGCATTTGCAGCTTTCTCAACCAGTTCTTGTTGTTTAGGGCTGATAATTTAAGAGTACAATGAGTAATAAGACATTTATCTGTAGTGTAAATATTAGACCAAATAGCAATATTGTGGGTAATAAATTGAAAAAATTAGATGCATGGTTGGTTTTGGCCAAAAGGTTTTTTCATAACTCGTGAAAGGTTATAGTTTCTTACAGAAGGTAATAGTGACAGTTCAAAACCGTTCTTGTCAACCTTTTCCTTATGAATACCAACTATGAACACTTCTTTATCATTGGTAAAAAGACCAGCCCGCTTGGTCAAACTATAGAGGAGATATTCAATTTTTCTTCGGTTAACTGACTCTTGGACCACTCTGTATATCATTGAGTAATATGATAAAACCATCAATGAATGTTCTCAGAGATGTTTTCAATGTGGATGAAAAATCTCACGTTGATCATATGAAAACTGTTAAACAGAATGTCCTTGATGGAACATCGAAATGGTCAGCGAAATTGATAATTACTGGTAATAGAAGTATTTCTTTGTCGCCTATAAAATCTTTTTATTTTTGCTTTTTTTTAGTGATAAGTGCTCAAGGTTTAATAGCGAAAGATAAAACTGGAACATCGGACCCGTATGTCACTGTTCAAGTCAGCAATGTGAAAAAACGAACAAAAACAGTTTATTCAGAATTAAATCCAACTTGGAATGAAAAATTCGTTTTGTACGTTCCATTATTTGGAGAATTAATCATTGACTTTGCTTTTGTCTAGTGAATGTCATAATTCATATGATCGAATAAAAGTTCGAGTTTGGTAGGGAAAATTTACTCTTGATCGAAAGAATTTTCTTTTGGACAAGACTTTTTTTTGTTTGTTTTTTTTAGGGATGAAGATGATGATATTCAAGCAAAATTAATGCAAAAATTAACTCATGAATCCGATGATTTTCTTGGCCAAACGATTATTGAAGTTCGAACATTATCAGGCGAAATGGATATTTGGTATAATTTAGAAAAACGAACGGATAAATCAACTGTTTCTGGTGCTATACATCTTCATATATCCGTAGAAATTAAAGGAGAAGAAAAAGTCGCTTCATATCGTGCACAATATTCTTGCTTACATGAGAATCTATTTTATACACTGTGTGAAAATAATAATGGCCAACCGATTATTCCTGATGCTAAAGGAGTAAATTGATTAATTTTGAAAATTTTTTGATTGTTGATGTCATTTATCAAGGATGACGCTTGGAAAGTGTGTTTTGATGAACCTTCACAAGAAATTGTCAAAGAATTTGCAATACGTTATGGAATTGAATCGATTTATCAAACAATGACGTAAAAAAATCAACGTTTCTTTTTCTCTTGAAAGCAAAAACAAATCTGTTTGAATAGTCATTTTGCCTGTCTATCAACGAAATATATGTGTTCTGGTGTACCTGCTGTAATGAGTACACTTTTAGCAAATATCAACGCTCAATATGCACGTACAATGGCAACAACAGCTACCAATCAATTTTTTACTTCCAATTTTGGAGTAGGTTTTGACATTATGACTTTCATTGATCTATGAGTTTTCTTAATGTGACATAGATTCGATCAACTTGCCTAATCCTTTTTTTTTTCTTTTATAGAAAGATAAATTTATCAAATTACTTGATCAATTACACAATTCAATTCGTATTGATTTATCGATGTTTCGAGTATGAATTCAATAGTGTTCTTTTGGTTTTCTTATGTGTATAGAGAATTTTTAGAATAATTTTCCATCATCAAGTATCGATCGAATGCAAGATCTCAAATCTACAGTTGATCTTCTTACATCGATTACATTCTTTTACATGAAGGTAAAATTCATTTTGATATTATTTCAATTTGTTTTGGAAGAGAAAAAAATCGAAACGACATACGTCACATTCTTCCTTTTCGAATATTATTGACGAATGCAGTAAGCTTCAGCATGATCTTATCTTTTCCCCTAGATTGAGATTTGTCAGTTGATTTCTTTCTAAATACATTAATCATATTCTAGGTTCAAGGATTAAGTTCTCCTCCACGTGCATCGACAGTGGTTAAAGATTGTGTGAAAAATTGTATAATTTATACATATAATTTTCTCTTTGCTAATTGTGATGAAGTTTATAAACGTGAATCGAAACAACAAACAAATCCATTAGAAAATCATCATGAACTGAATGATGATGGAACGCAAATATCATCAATAGACAAAACAACAACTCATAGCGTTGAATCAAATCTGAAAAGTTTACAGTTTTGGCATAAATTAATATATTTATTAAAATGTATCATTTCGGAAGATCGAAAACGATATAGTTTAGTCTTGAATCAGTGAGTTTTGTTTTTCGGAAGATCGTTTCTTTTTATTCGATTTTATATTTAGATTTCCATCAGAATTAAATGTTGGTCATATCAGTGCTGATACCTTATGGAACCTTTTATCAGCTGATCTGAAAGATGAGCTTCAAAGTAAATTTCATTGGTCGAGGGTAGGGATGCACTGAATCTGAACGTTCTGGTTAGGTCTTGAGTGCAGTCATTTTCAGTTAATCAATAAAAGGGAATAGAAGTATACCATAAGAACGGATTTCATGGTTGGTATGGTAAGTCTACAGGCAACCAAATATATGATTCAAAAATTGAAGGACTGCAGGCATCCTAAGGAAGAGCTAACGATATTCGGAAATACTCGACGCTATCTGAAGTCATTGGATAGTTCCCGAACTCAAACCTGAACCCGGACCCCAACCCTGAGACCGAACCCAAGGGTGTGGGTGTGGGTGTCGGTGGATGTGGGTGTGGGTGTCAGTGGGTGTGGGTGTCGGTGGGTGTGGGTGTGGACATTGGTCTTAGTCTTGCTCTGAACCACATCCACACTCACACCCTCAGCCACACCCACACCACGCCCACACCCACGCACCCGCACCCACACCCCACCCATACCCACATCCACACCCACCCTCCTTGGATCTTGTCGCAGATCGTTATCAATATTCACGGGGTTTTCATGCACAATTATAAAGCAGCTTCATCGTGTTTCACATTTTATCCCGAAGGAATTGCGCTGAAAGCTTTTTTATTTTCAGAACATGATCGAATTCCAGCTAAACGTTCTGCTATGAAAGGTGATGATTATATGAGGCTTCATTTTACGGTTAAAGAATTCTATGACACATCGGTGAAAATCATTTCTCAAGCAAAAAATAGTGTTCCAGAATATCCTAAGTAAGTTGATTTCTTTCTTTTGATGACTTTTCTTCGATCTATCGGTACAATTTTTATATACCAAAAGAATTGAAATGGTAAACAATTGAGTACGTTGTTACTAAGCCTGAGCATGTTGAAAGATGAATAAATGTAAAGAATAAAATAAAAATGATTGTTTTTTATTCAGATGGTTTGAACCATTTGTCATTCAATGGCTAAATGAAAATGGTGATATATCCATGGAATATCTTCACAATGCACTTGAAAAAGATCGTCAAACAGGAGTCAGTCAATCAGAAATGAATCATATTTTCAAGAGAAAAGATTTTCTTTCTTGAATTTTTCTAGTTTCAAGAAATATCTGAGCATTGTTTATTTTCTTCATCTGTTGTTGATGTTTTTTCTCCATTGAATGAATATTATCGAGTTATTAAAACACTTGAGATTCATGATCCATTGGTCATTGCGAATTATATGCAACGTTTTTCTGTTATTATATCTCAAGTGTCACTTGGTTATGCTAATGCAATATATCGAACATTTGAACAGGTTGCAGGTCAAGATAATATTTGTTCGATTTTAATGAATGATATTCAACGATCACGTGTTCATCTCGATCAATTATATAAAGTAATGGGTGGATCACAATTAGATAATGAAACCAAATTCAGATTGAATGAATTACAAAAACAATTAAGTAATGTTCTCGATGAATTAAGTGCCATGTTTGTCAAAAGTATTGAACCAACAATTCGACAAACGATTGAAGAAGTCAAGAAACAATTACAACAAATTAAAGAAAATCAAATGAATTCAGAAAATAATAGTGGACAACAGAGAGGAGTCGAAGCCAGTCTGATTATGAAATCATTATTGGATTATCTCTATCAAAAGTAATGTATTCATCGAACAGCATATCGAATTCTGATATCATTGAAATAATGACCTTCTGTTTAGATGGACAGTTTTTGGCAATCAATGTGAAAAAACTGTTCGAAAACGGTTGTTAAAAGAATCGTGGAAAGCCGTGATTAGTGATATTGAAAAAGTGATTGTTTTACCACCTATTTCTGATTCCAACCATCTATTAACAATTTCATCAACCAAAAGTCAAGAAACTTATCGACTTTTATCAGGGGTTTGTCTTTTATTAATCGATTTCTTCTAATTCTGAATATGTTTTCAAATTGAAATAGGAATTAGGTCGAGATAATGATCGAAATTTAACGCAAAACCAATGTCAAATCTTATATCATTGTTTGGAAGATTTAAAAGAATTTTTTCAAGCATCAAGTCCAGGTTTAAAGAAAGATTATCTAGAAAAAACAACAGAATTGCAATCATTAAAATATGTCCTTTCCTTATACACACAAACAACGGATTCATTAATTAAAACATTTGTTAAAACAGAAAAAGAACAAAGTAAATATTTTTCGTTCATCTAACTTAATCAAATAGTTCTTCTTCCAGATCGGCCAGCATTAGAAGAATCGTTTGGTGAAGTTTTAATTGAAGTCGATCTATTTACACATACGGGTAGTGGAGAACATAAAGTAACTGTCAAAGGTACAAAGAAAATAGTTTCAATGCATTGTTCATACGTTTTTCTTTTAAATTTAGTTGTAGCTGCAAATGGTTTGAAATGGCGAACCACCAGGATGTTTTGCCCCTATGTTGAATTAGCCATGTGTGGTCCTCATCTTAGTGATAAAAAACATAAATATACTACCAAAATGAAGAGTAATACATGGATACCGAAATATAATGAAACATTTCATTTGTTAGTCATCAATTTGATTTGTTGTTCATAGAAGAATCGGTTCTGTTTTTCTGTTTTGTTTAGTCTATTGGGCAATGAAGAAGAACCGGATTGTTATGAATTAAATGTTGCTGTAAAAGATTATTCATTTATGCGTGAAGATCGTTTAATTGGTTTGAATGTTATTAAATTAACACAAGTATGTGAACAAGATGCATGGTCATCTTGGATTCCATTGGGTGCTCGAATCAATTTTGATGATGCTGGTTTAACTATTCTAAGAATCTTATCACATCGAACGAATGATGAATTAGCTCGAGAATTCGTGGCATTGAAATCCGCTAGACGACATAAGGAAGATGTGTGATGAACATTTGATGATCGATCTCGATTTTGTAAAACCATTTTCAATATATCGTTCTGTGTATTTTTCACTTTTATGTCTAGCAAATTTTCATTAGATGTGAATATTGAATTTCAATTTAATTCTAAACCTAGAAAAAGGGATCATGAATTGGTGAGAAAATACATTCAAGAGAAACAGCATCTAACATTGGTGGAGAAGTTGGTCTGCTCGATAATAATCCTCACCTTCGTTCGCATGAACTTTATATAGTATTGAAATAAAAAGTTCTGTCAATATAGTTTATTTTAGCAAGGTACCAGAAATTCAAAATTATAGCAGGATTTTTAGGGTATGGATGTGGATGTGTGATAAGAAATATCGCCATTCCACGACAACGTTGTTTCTGTCTTGGCAGGACTTCGTCAGGTGGATAACTTAATGTTATATCTACTTAGATAGTAATTCAGTATAAAATGTATAAAATTGGAATTACTATTCGATATAATAATTAATATGGACATTTGCACATGAAAATTTTCGATAATAGTATTAACTCTAACTATAATCTTAGTCGATTATCGAAGTCAATGACTATTATAAAGTGAAAATTTTCGAACAAAAGTCAAAGATTTCTTTCACAAATGGGTGTGTGATAAGAAATATCGCCGTTCCACGACAACATTGTTTCTGTCTTAGTGGAACTTCATCAGGTGGATAACTTGAGGGTGGGGGGGGGTGCGTGTGGGGGTGTATAAGCGAATAGTTCAAGCATTTGATATATAGCTAGCGAGACGCGTNAAATGCTGATGGATTAACATCATATGAATCTGCTTCAATAATGCTCTATTCAATGGATTGGCAACCAATGGAACAATGTTTATATTACGTTCTTAATGCAGTACTTCGTTCAAATCAGAGGTCCAATCAGGTTACTAGGCCTGCCTGACCTGTCTACTTTTCTTATGTAATAAAAATCTTTTATCTCACAAATTAATTTTATGTTTAACAAGCGAATTCAATTGAGTTAGATTTTAAAGAGGATATTTGAATAAGAAGAAAGAGAAAAATTTGATTGAGAAAACATATTTACGAATGACAATAACAGAGAAATCTACTACGCATATTACGAGTTATTACGATAAAGAGACACTCGATACGCTACGAAACTGACCCAACGAAAGACATTGTTGTATCCCACTATTTCATATGTGTTTCGAAAATGATAATTGTCGGACTTTGATACTTCTGTGTCTGCTCCCAGTACACAGATCGTTTGACTTAATCCATCAGTATTTTAAATTGGAATTTTGAGGGTAATCAGTTCTATTTAACTGTCAATATGGTAGCGATCTTACAAATTATCATATAGTGTGATAGAGATATTTAAACTTTCTAAAATGCTGAAAAAGCATTTAAAAAAATTTGACTACTGAGAAACTCCTAAGGAAACTTCCACAGACATAACTTTGAGTGTTTTTGACTGATATTATGTAAATCTAGATCAAAAGAAGTATACTTTGGGTATAAAATAATCCTACCGATTTGTATTTAACACTGTATGCTTACACAACTTTTCAATCTAAACAGTATTTTGATAGTTCAAGCAAACGTTACGTTGTGTTTTTGTACGATTGTACAGCCTGAGACATTTGCTTTTCTTCGAGTGAAATTACTTTTTGAGGTGATTCATTTTTTTCGCTTAAAAGTGAGCGGACCGGATTCATTTTTCCTAAAAAACAGTGAATGACAATGTTGAAAATACTGATCAGTAGGATCATTTTAGTTTTATCCCAACGATACTACTTCTGACCTAAAATCTACGAATTATGAGTCAAAAAATGCTCAAAATCATGTCTATGAAACAATACTCATCATACATCTTTTCCTGTTCTTTGTATTCCTTGGTGTTTTATTAATATTTGCAGCTCTTAAAATTGTGTGTTGAATTAACTACCTGCAACGCAGCTTGATTGACTAGCTTACTAGTGTCAAAATAGACATTGGTCACCTTCAACAATAAGTTTTTGCATTCTCCTTGACAATATCAAGCGATCTGGGTAAAACATAAAATGGTGCGACACAGTAAAATCCTCAAATGATCACTTTCAAAATCCTTGTGCAACAGCTGTGAATAAAAGAAAAAGTATATCTTTCGAGGAGAACAATTTCATCAATTGTCGACTCATCTTTTCTATGTCAATCATTATTTGCTACGGGCCATTTTTACATGGCAACTAATTCAGATGAAGTTGAGTGCAGCTTTCTGCTACATGCTTAATAGTTGCTGTTCGTAGTTCCTCTTGATTGTAATACTAATAATGACGTTTTTCTGTCAGATTCATTCAACATGCGCTTTAACAAAGATCGGATCGATTTCTTTATTTCTCGAAGTATCCATATTTGTCAATTCATATTAAATGTAGAATAAAACTTTATACCGTTTATGATCTCATCATATAAGTACCACATTTATTTCAGATATCTATTTTTGCTCGAAAGCAATCACTTCTTAGTAGAAGCTTCTTTATAGCTAAATATGAATGCTTTTCTAGTCTAACTTTAACAAACGAGCAAAGTTTCTCTGTACTTAAGATTGTTGGTTCCATTCTAATTCTTACAAAGTATGTCGCACAGATAAGAATGAAACACCACTTTACAACGAACTATATTACATATCTTCTTGAATCTTCACATCAGAAAATGTCCATTACTATCATCTAAATTGACCTATTAGTTGATTGAACACTGTATGAAATTTGGTACTAAATGATATCCTATTCTTATTATGACATAGGCTGGAATAAAAAGTGGACATGCCTTGTCAGGCAGGCCAAGCGGAGGAAATCATCTGGCAG